TTAATTTCTGTTGTACATATATTGTTGTATAGAGGATATTTTGATATGATTCATCAAGTGCAAATCGGATAGATAAACCGATATGTGGCGCCATCTAGCGTACCTAAATTCATCTAGACCTATTCTTAAAAGTGACCCGAAAAATGGTGCTAACTCGATAACCCGTGGCCCGATTTTAACGAAACTTGTTTTATTCTGTTTCTATTCTCATTTCATTACAAATATGGCGCTAATGTGCGCCGTTTTTGCTATATTTAATTACAGACAAGCACACAAACAATCTCGGAGTTTAGTAGTATATAGATAAATGAAAAATTTAAAGTACTGAAAAAGTTTTTAATTTTATAAGAACATTCTTTTAAAATATTTGAACTCAGTTTGACTTGACGATATTTGTATCTCAGAACTAAGTTTAACTTGATCATATTTGTATCTCAGAACTAAGTTTGACTTGATGATATTTGTATCTCAGAACTATGTTTGACTTGATGATATTTGTATCTCAGAACTAAGTTTGACTTGATGATATTTGTATCTCAGAACTAAGTTTGACTTGATGATATTTGTATTTTAAAACTAAGTTTGACTTGATATTTGTAGCTGGACCACTTGAACAGATTCTTAATTCCTTCAATATCAACAACTACATTATGAGTTTCATACTGTTTTTACAATCATAACTCAGAAGTAACATTTAACAAACAAGTCTTTATTATTATTCTTGCTACAAATACTTGATTTACCATAAGACAAACATCTTCTAATAGAACCTTCTTCAAGCTAAATACTATATCAATCTAAATATCAAGTTGAGAACACTTGATTCGAAGACCACCTATAAGATATAATTAGGTTAATGGTGTTCTTTCTGAGCTTCCAGCTCTGCCATTTCTTTCTCCTCGTTAGGATCGTGTGGCCAGAAGGTTGGTCGGTTTATAGGATCCAGTGCAATTTCTGGAAAAGAATCTCGGAAATCTTCCATTGTCATGTGGTCAAATTGAATAAGGTTTTTAAACCATGCAAGCTAGAAAACAAATATACCGAGAATAATGAACAAATACAGGTAACTGTATACACATGTACCGAAAACACACGTGTACCAAGACAGACATATACACACGTGTACCGAAAACACACATATACGGGCGTTCCGACTGATACACGTGTACCGAAAACACACATATACGGGCGTTTTGACTGATACACGTGTACTAAGACAGACAGATACAGTTTGAATGCAGTGGAAAGGTAAGAGTCTAGTTTCTGCCTTATAATAGTAATTTTGTGATAATTTGTTAAGTCTTTCTTTTAGGGAAGTAATGTTGCTTGTTTCATGTAAATAGCTAATAAGGGTGCAACTTGGAACCCTTACGGCTAATCATAAAACTATTTTATTGAAGCTGCAGTTTCTTGAGAACACTGCTAAACATCCGTATGGTATTTTTAAAGTAGTATCCGGTGTACAACCTTTATTGTATCCAGTAATAAGTCTTCAGTGATTAATGTGCTTGCTAACAGACTCTTATTAAAGTTTTCTTACCATGCAAATTTCCTATCAAATATTACACTAAAGCTTATTTTGATATCTAATTTTACTTTAACTTTTTTTTTAATTTTGTAATATATATATATATATATATATATATATATATTTAAACTTTGATGGAACATAATACCCAGTTTTAAGCAGGTTTAAAAGGACCTGCCAGCCGTTACACCAGCCAGTTATAGCAATTCCTGTATGCAATACACAGCAATTAGCAGATTTCTAGACTAGCTAGAGTACCCATCCCTTGGATGCAAGTTCATGATTAATGAAAGGTTATCTTAGGACATGGAAAGTTGCTTCCCTTATATGCAATTGTAAAAAACAAAAACACTCATAAAAACTGCAAAACACAAAATGTGAAACTAAATGTTTGTATGTATTTTCCCATGAACACAACAAACCTTCATGCCAAATTTGGTGAAGATCCATCAACAAAGTGGAGATGTAGTGGTAAAAAATGCAAAAACGGTAAGACTGAAAACCTGTATGTATCTCCCCATGGACCCAATGAACCTACAAAACTGAAAATCTGTATGTATCTCCCCATGGACCCAATGAACCTCCAAAACTGAAAATCTGTATGTATCTCCCCATGGACCCAATGAACCTTCATACCAAATTTGGTGAAGATCTATCTAAATGGGGTGAAGTAGTGGTAAAAACACCCATAAAAACCACAAAATGCAAAACTGAAAATTTGTATGTACCCCCACATGTAATTAATGAACCTCCATCCACACCCTGTGAAGTAGTTACATGGACATACAACAGGTAGTACTATTATATTTATATAGATACATTAGAAACAGCAATCTCATCAACATATTGAGAAAAGTAGGTGTATGTTAACTGTGGAAATGGGATGTTGTAAACAAAGATTATATCAGTGCCATAACAGGGCCTGCAGTACTCCCGCTGATATATTCAATGATTTGGAGAGGGTGTCACTAACTACTGCTGTGTGGTTGGCTAGGAAGTTTATATCAGTGACAGAATAGAGCCCTGCAGTACTCCCACTGATATATTCAATGATTTGGAGATGGTGTCACTAACTACTGCTGTGTGGTTGGTTAGGAAGTTTCAGATCCATCTTATTGTTTGATTAATGTTCAATAAATTAAGTATATCATATGGCATTGTGCCAAATACTGTCAAAAGCTTCACATACATCTTTAAAAATTGCAATTGTAGCTTGGTTGTTAAAGAACCTTAAGACAGCTTCCACGAGACATTTCAGGTAGTTTTCCTAGACAGCTGAGGAAACTATTAGGTCAAAATTTCTGGTTTAGATGTTACTGTGGGGTCTTTGGAGATAGCTGTTATGATGGCTTTTTTCCAGATATTTGAAAATATCCTGTTAGTAATGATAGATTCATGAAGCTGATTAGATTTGTCCAAGTTTTTCTTGAGGATTATGTTTCTGATCCCATCATGACCAGAAGCAGAGTTTTTGAATGTATTGTGTGTTGACTTTAACTTTGGTTACCTTGCAATTTAGACAATGTATTGTCGTTTATAATATTTAACATGGAGCTAGTTGTGTATAGATGTGGGATATTTTCAACATGGTTATTGACATACACATGTACGTAACATATACATGCATGTTTTCATAACATACACATGTACCAACACAGATATATTCTGGTCTTCCAAATATTTAATATCTATGATAAAAATGAAACTATACTTTGACAGAATGATCCGTCAAGGTAGATGGTCAGTCAGAATACACTCTCAGTAGTTCACAGAATGATCCATCAAGGTTGATGGTCAGTCAGAATACGCTCTCACCAGTTCATAGAATGATCCGTCAAGGTAGATGGTCAGTCAGAATACACTCTCACCAGTTCACAGAATGATCCATCAAGGTAGATGGTCAGTCAGAATACGCTCTCACTAGTTCATAAAATGATCCATCAAGGTAGATGGTCAGTCAGAATACGCTCTCACCAGTTGACAGAATGATCCGTCGAGGTAGATGATCAGTCAGAATACACTCTCACCGGTTGACAGAATGATCCGTCGAGGTAGATAGTCAGTCAGAATATGCTCTGACCAGTTGACAGAATGATCCGTCAAGGTAGATGGTCAGTCAGAATACGCTCTCACCGGTTGATAGAATAATCCGTCAAGGTAGATGGTCAGTCAGAATACAAACTCACCAGTTGACAGAATGATCTGTTAAGGTAGATGAATTATAAGTCAATATATGTTGTTAACCACTAGATTGTTAAACATACCTGTTTGTTATATTCCTCTATTCTGTTATTGGATTCTTTGACAAACTCTTGTGCTTCCTTTTGCTATATAAAAAAAAAGGTAAGGCTAATTACTTGCATATTTTTACAAATATCTTTACGACTCATTTTTTCTCACTTTGTACATAAAACAATAACACTAAATTGCAGCAGATAATACAATATTTGTTTTACATACTCACATAAAAGTTTAAGCTCCAATGTAATCATCCCTCTCATTATAAACTAAAACTTTACCTTTTACGATTCAATTTATCAATAAGAGATTGAAAGTATTCCAGTCACACACTACCTGCTACGTGTATATCACCACCACTACACAAGTAAGAAACGGAATTCTCTCTCTCCATAACCTTCACTTTTTAGATAAGCACAGCAACCAAACTTGTGATAGAACTTAAATATTCTTATGTCCAAAACTGTGACACTTACTTAAAGTAATACACAATGTAACTATTTACAGTTACACTTACAAGCAAGTTCAATTACCCACTTCCTCAGCTAATCTGTAGTAGTTACACTTTACAAGCTAGATCAATCACCTACTTCCTCGGCTAATCTCTATTAGTTTGCAGCCAGAATTTTATCTTCTGGCAGACATATTCCCTTTTGTACAAGCATGTTCTATCACACTCCTTATAAAGTCTGAGCTTTCCTTGCTCTTACCAACTGTTTTGCAGAATAGCCAAAATGTGACAAGAGATCAGTTGAGATTTTACATGGCCAGTCTCTTTTTCATATGCAAAAAGTGTTCTACAAATATAAAGGACCTAACATAGATAACACACTAGTGTTATGCACTGATGGGCCCAACTTGGATAATGTACTTGTTTTATGTACTGAAAATCAATTAAAATTAATTCACTAAATATTAAAACATCAAAATGAAAACACAAGATGGACATGGTCACCAACACATTGTAAAGATAAACTCTTTATAGTGACTGTTCTTTTAAGATGATGATATGACAAAGACAGTTTAAATTATATATCTTAAATTCTGAGTAACACATACAGTTATCATAATTTACACAAGTAATCTGTTTACTCACTGCTTCTTTCTCTTGGACATCAATCTGTGGAGTGACTTTTTCTGATGGGTAAGGTACCTTCAGAGCTTTATACTAAAGAAAACAAGAGTGTGCTTATAAGACATGTGCAGCAAGTGTACACACAATACTTTTAGAAAACAAAGAATCAAAATAGTTAAACTTGGCAATGACTTTTAATCACTGACACCTGTAACCAAGAATAACATATTTAACACATTTACACAATTTCATTTTTTAATGTTTGCCTCTTTTTCTACATCCCAGACTCTGTGAGTAATCTTAAACAAAGTGTCAAACAAAGTCCATTGACAATTCAATGAGATCAGATTTCATATCAAATAAATGAACACTAAACGAATGTGGTAGCTGTAAGTACTGAGCAAACTCTTTATTCCTGTTGCTTTCTGGATAGAAGTTATCTAACAATCTACAAATGATGATAACCAGACTGTAAGGTTGTGACAACACTTCCTCTCTGGAAGTAATACATTATACATAATGATCACCAGACTATAAGGTTGTGACCACACTTCCTCTCTGGAAGTAATACATTATACATAATGATCACCAGACTGTAAGGCTGTGACCGCACTTCCTCTCTGGAAGTAATACATTATACATAATGATCACCAGACTATAAGATTGTGACCACACTTCCTCTCTGGAAGTAATACATTATACATAATGATCACCAGACTATAAGGTTGCAACAACACTTCCTCTCTGATGTCAGGATACATTAGCCAGGATGTTTTACAAAACACTGAATAGTAATAAATAGTAATAAAACAGAATAGTTGTTACAGTAACTACAATAGTACACTTATACTATATAGTTATAAATTTTTTTTTTTCTAAATGCAAGTTTTCTCCTGGGGACAGCTAATTTTTCCTCTCCGGCTGTTCTGTTTTCAGTTTTGTTGAAGACTAAATCTACTGTTAAATACTTTTGTGCCAGTAAAACTTGAATGTACATGTTTCAGTCACATCATAGTTCCAACATAGCATCTGTTTACTCTACAGGTAAAAGTCACAAGTAGTTAGTTTCGTCTGCTTATACACGTCCTGTAAGTGTAATTCAACAAGTAATAAAATAATTAAGATTGATGACTACTTAGTGTAAAAACTAACCAAATCCACTAGATTTCATAATTATATCCAATACAGTTTATCACTTCACACAGAAAACTATGATTTAGTCCATGTTTGGCACAAATTAAATCTATGCAACGATTGTATCCAAGAAAAAGTGCTTAACCCATTCACAACGCGATATGATGTGGTTAATAATACATCATACACAGATAAGGCACATGGTTTATTATAGTTGGCTCCTGCTTTTCAAAAATTGGTGACAGAATTCTGAGATTAACCATTTTTAGGCTCCAACTTCCTATGAACTAAAAAAAGTCTCTGAATCTTACCATAATAATATTTTTTTTTTACCTGATACATCATTTAAAACAAACTTTTTGGGTGTTTTCTCACTCTACAAAAACTGTCAAAATTCCATAAGAAGTTCTGGTTATTTTATATGGAACAGTTTCTTGACATGTGAAGCATTTCACAAGTAATAGTACAACATTCTGTTTAACTTCATCAAACTGAATCATGATAACTCAAACTCTGACAGTAACATACTTTTACTAACTCAAACTCTGACAGTAACATACTTTTCCTGACAGTTAAACACAAGACTCAAATCAAGATTATATAACACACTGTAATTACATAGAGGTTTTAGTATGCTACCATGAACTTCCACAGTGTCCAACAGTTAGATGACTTTTGGTCTATAATATTTAGATGTTTAACATCAAGAAAGTCGTAATCTGAATAATACATCTTCTTTTATGTTTGATTATATCACAATAACTCAAAAGATTTTTCTTACAGTCTTTTCAAATTCATCTACAATGGCAGGCGTAGCCACACGAGCCCGATAGAAGGAAAAGTCTATTGCTGGAGGGTTTTCAGGGTAACTCCATACTCTGTAGAAACAAAACTAAGTGAGGAAAAAGTTTTTGACATTCAAACTACTTTTAAAAACCTATAGATAACACCTGAACATTACTCATACATGTACATTTCATGTGCAGTGTCTTAGCTTTTCTTACAGAATCCATTCTGCTAAGTTATTTACCTGACTCATAAGGTCCAGTTTATAAGATATTTACAGTTTTACCCATAAAATCTGTATTATTTTCTCCACATAACAAATGTTAATAAAAACCCAAAATTTTTCAAACAGTATTCACACACACAAGTTTAATTAAGGTTATTTTCAATTCTATTAATAAAGCCCAATAATAAAGTTTTTGTCATGGTAGAGTATTAGACAGAAATTCAACTGGTCTTGTTTCTCAGTTCTTGAATGCATTTACATACTAATTAAAACTAATTAAATTTACAGGTTCAAACCACAAATTATAGTTCCATATTATAAACATTCAACTATTTCAAAAGATGGACCTTTCTTCATCAGTTTATTACAATGTTCAAACCTTCTACACTAACTGGCCTATAATTTCCAGGGCAAAACTTATCCCCCCCTTTAAAGATTGGAGTAACATAACCATTTATCCAAACTCAGGCACTTGCCAACTCTCTGCTGACCTACCAGAAATGAAAGAGGCTCATATACCTGATCCCTGACCTTCTTTAAAACAGACAATTTATCTAGTCCTACTTTTAATCTATCAGTCTTTCTACTTGCCAACAAGAGATTAGGATCTATAAGAATCAGATCAATTCCAATATTTACCATGGAATACTCATGGTCTAGATCATTGCCAATATCCCACATTTAAAGCAAAATGGAAGAAAGTATTCAAAAGCTCAGTGACCTCATAATCTTGAACAATAACCTTGCTACCAGCATCCTTACATAGATCCTTCAACAATAACCTTGCTACCAGCATCCTTACATAGATCCTTCAACAATAACCTTGCCACCAGCATCCTTACATAGATCCTTCAACAATAACCTTGCCATCAACATCCTTACATAGATCCTTCAACAATAGCAAGGTTATTGTTGAAGGATCTATGTAAGGATATTGATGGCAAGGTTGTTGTTGAAGGATTTATGTGAGGATGCTGATGGCAAGGTTATTGTTGAAGGATTTATGTAAGGATGCTGATGGCAAGGTTATTGTTGAAGGATTTATGTAAGGATGCTGATGGCAAGGTTATTGTTGAAGGATTTATGTAAGGATGCTGATGGCAAGGTTATCAGCATCCTTATATAGATCCTTCAACAATAACCTTGCTATCAGCATCCTTGTATAGATCCTTCAACAATAACCTTGCCATCAGCATCCTCACATAAATCCTTCAACAACAACCTTGCCATCAGCATCCTTACAAAATTCTTGCTATGAGATTTAACATTATCATTTGATTTCCCAATTTCTTTTTTTTTTAAACCAAATCCCTAGCTTTCCTGTAATTCTTCCAACCAATCTGTGAACTGAAACTTACAATACTTACTCCTAATTTCACTGGTTGGATTTGTGGGGTCAGTTCAATAGGAAAAAAAAAAAAAAAAGAGCTTTTTTGGAATGGATGGTTTATACCTGAATAGCTGGCTTCTTTAAAAGGGCTATGAATTCAACTGAAAGGTCAGCTTCAAACTAGGATTAGATATCAGTGACAGACAAAAAACTGATGAAAAATAAAATGTAGAAAAAGTATAGCATAGGAATAAAGTAAAAAGTTTTAAAGGTATGTTATTATTGTACTGCTAGAAGTACAAGATGATTTGAGAACACTGGTCAGAACAGAAGACTTCGAGATAAGGTGAATAAGGAAAATCTAGTTAAATCTAGTTGACAGGAATTTTTCTGAAATAAAAGTTTATAGGTTATTTAATAAGGATAGAGTATTAAACAGATGGGAAGGAGTGCCTTTATATGTAAAACATAAGCTACAGACCACCAGATGAAATTGAGAAACTCTACAGTGAGGTAAAGAGCACAGCTATTAATGAGATTAATTTAATTTTAGGCATGTACAGATTCAGAAATGTTAGAGTTGAATCATGAGGGAAAACAGGCTTTTAGAAACTGTTCCGAATGGTTTTCTTCAACAATTGGTTTAAAAACCTATTAAGAACAATACTATTTTAGATTTTTAACTTTCAATAAAGAATTGGTGAACAGGGTTGAAATTGGATAATATCTGCATGAAGTATCAATGTCCAACTAGGTCTAATGTTTTACCACACATGAAGGTAAGGAATAGTGAGATTTTGGTTACAAAAACTCTTATACTGATTACAGTGATTAGAAATTTGGAGTATTATAGAAAACAAACAGAAACTAGTGGCTGTTCGGTCAAGATCTTGGCAAGCTCAACACTGTACTTCTCTGTCACAAAATTCTTCCCGACTTCTTCTCACTGGATCTTGGTGAGCAACTTGATGTTCTTCTGTATTTTGGGTTATTTCCTGGCTTATTCTCGCTGGATCTTACCTCATAACTTGGTGAGCAACTTGATGTTCTTCTGTATTTTGGTTTTTTTCCTGGCTTATTCTCACTGGATCTTACCTCATAACTTGGTGAGCCAATCTCTTTCTTTCTGCGATTTTCATTGTGACGTTTCATTTTCTATCTCAAAGTTTCAGACTTTCTCCGCAATAAGTCACTTTTCATTTGGAAATTCTTGGCATTGTGATTTCTGATGTTTTTGATCACTTTATACTTGTACTGAAGTAAAAAAATACTCGTGTAACTTACAAAGATGGAGTTACTATAAAATTCTTGCAAATGTGTATGCAACAAACTCTGTACGAATGACTTGCGATTCCTTCGGTCACAGAACAATTCATAGCATACACTTAGATTCTCCAGCAGAAAAAGTCACTTTTCTTCTGAAATATCACAATCATTGTCCACTAAGAAGACTCACTTTGAAATTATGCATTAAACCG